ACATATACACCATCCCAAGACTGAACCCAGAATAAATTTAATCCCTGAACAGACCAATAATAAGTTCTGAAATTTAGGCAGTAATAAATAGCTTATTAACAACAACAACAACAAAGAAAATGCCCAGGACCAGGCAGATTCACAACTGAATTTTACCAGAGGTCCAAAGAAGAGCTGGTACCACTTCTACTGAAACTATTACAAAAAAATTGAAAAGGAAAGACTCGCCCCTTGTAATTCATATTACGAGGCCAGCATCATCCTAATACCAAAACCTGTCAGAGATACAACAAAAAAAGAAAACTTCAGGCCAATATTCTTAATGAACATGGATGCAAAAATCCTCAATAAAATACTGGCAAACCAAATCCAGCAGCACATCAAAGACCTTATCCACCATGATCAAGTTGGCTTCATCCCCAGGATGCAAGGCTGGTTCAACATAGAGAAATCAATAAGTGTGATTTATCACATAAAAAGCACTAAAGACAAAAACCACATGATAATCTCAACAGATGTAGAAAAGCCCTTTGGTAAAATTCAATATCCCTTCATGTTAAAAACTCTTAATAAACTACATATTGAAGGAACCTCAAATACCTCAAATACCTCAAAATAATAATGCCCATATATGAAAAATCCACAGTCAATATCATAATGAACGGGCAAAAGTTGGAAGCATTCCCCTTGAAAACCAGCACAAGACAAGGATGTTCTCTCTCATCACTCCTATTCAACATAGTACTGGAAGTTCTGGCCAGGATAATCAGGCAAAAGAAAGAAAGAAAGTGTATTCAAATAGGAAGAGAGGAAGTCAAATTATCTTTGTTGAAGATGAGATTCTCTTATATCTAGAAAACACCATTGTCTCAGCCCAAAAGCTTCTTAAGCTGATAAGCAACTTCAGCAAAGCCTCAGGATACACAAAATCAATGTGCAAATATCTCTAGCATTCCTATACACCAACAACAGGCAAGCTGAGAGCCAAATCATGAATGAACTTCCATTCACGATTGCTACAAAAAGAATAAGTTTCCTAGGAATACAGCTAACAAGGGAAGTGAAGGATCTCTTCAAAGAGAACTACAAACCACTACTCAAAGAAATCAGAGAGGATTTCAGTGAGGACCCAAACAAATGGAAAAACACTTCATTCTCATAGATAGGAAGAATCAATATCATAAAAATGGCCATACTGCCCAAAGTAATTTATAGATTCAATGATATTTGCATTAAACTACCATTGACCTTCTTCAAAGAGTTAGAAAAAACTATTGTAAAACTCATATGGAAACAAAAAGAGCCCAAATAGCCAAGACAATCCCTAAGCAAAAAGAACAAAGTTGGAGGCATCACACTACCTAACTTCAAACTATATTAAAAGGCTACAGTAAACAAAACAGCATGGTATTGGTATAAGAACAGACACATAGATCGATGGAACAGAAAAGAGAACTCAGGAATAAGACCACACACCTACAACCATCTGATTTTCAATAAGACTGGCAAAAACTAGCAATGGGAAAGGATTCCCTATTTAATAAATAGTGCTGGGAGAAATGGCTAGCCATATGCAGAAAATTGAAACTGGACCCCTTCTTTATACCATATACAAAAATTAATTCAAGATGGACTAAAGACTTAAGTGTAAAACACAACACTACAAAAGCCCTAGAAGAAAATCTAGGCAATATCATTCAGTACATAGGTACGGGCAAGATTTCATAATTAAAATGCCAAAAGCAATTGCAACAAAAGCAAAAATTGACAAATGAGATCTAATTAAACTAATAAGCTTCTGTGCAGCAAATGAAACTCATCAGAGTGAACAGAAAACCTACAGAATGGGATAAAATTTTTGCAATTTATCTATCTGACAAAGGTCTAATATCCAGAGTCTCCAGGGAACTTAAACAAATTTACAAGAAAAGACAACCCCATTAAAAAATAGGCAAAGGACATTAACAGATCCTTCTCAAAAGAAGACATACTTGAGGCCAACAAGCATATGAAAAAAAGCTCAACATCGCTGATAATTAAAGAAATGCAAATACAACCACAATGAGATACCAACTCAAGCCACTCAGAATGGCTGTTATTAAAAAGTCAAAGAAAACAACAGATGCTGGCGAGACTGCAGAGACAAAGAAACAGTTTTACACTGTGGGTGGAAGTGTAAATCAGCAACCATAGTGGAAAACTGTGGTAATTCCTCAAAGTTCTAGAAACAGAAATACCATTTGACAGAGCAATCCCATTACTGGGTATATACCCAAAGGAATATAAATCATTCTATTATAAGGATACATGCACACATATGTTCATTGTAGCACTATTCACAATAGCAAAGATATGGAATCAACCTACATGCCCATCAACGATAGACTAGATAAAGAAAATGTGGTATGGCCGGGCGCGGTGGCTCAAGCCTGTAATCCCAGCACTTTGGGAGGCCGAGGCGGGTGGATCACGAGGTCAAGAGATCGAGACCATCCT